AGTCCAATATTTCTCTACCTCTGACATGAACTTCACAAAGAACATCCTTCTTATAAAGTTGTAACACACCCTCATGCCGATTATCATAATTTCTTACGGGATTACCCTTCGTGGGATTTACCGTCAACAACATCATTTAACATTGGCTTCGGCCTTCAAAACAGAAAATTAACAAACTATAGTGTGGCATCGGCTTTAACTATAGTACCACGGGATCGCCCTTTGTGGATTTTACCAATATGCAACTACTCTTAACCACTGTTCTAAAAATCCCCGCTTAGCGCCGCCTAGGCCCCGCTTAGGCGCTAGGTCCCAGCCCACCGCCCCGATTAATGCCTAGGCCCCAGCCCATCGCCTAGACCACCTAGGCACCCGCCTAGCCCGCCTAGCCCGGCTAGACCCGCCTAGGTTGCAACTCACTTAGATAGAAAATACATAACTTTCATTTTGCATTTTGTTTTTTTTCCAATAAATTGTAAGAGACTTGTTGCATACTTGAATGAACAAACATTATATCCTTATTTCACATGTTTTCATTATGTTCCAATACTTCATGATATATATGCATTCTATTTTGTAGTTTATGATGAAATTATATATATTTCAAGTAGAAGCAGACACTTATTTACCTGAAATATGATAGATTTACTTAAATCCGCCTAGTCCGCCTAGGGGCTAGGCCCTAGCCCGCCACCCGACTAGCGCCTAGCGACTTTTAGAACCTTGCTCTTAACAATGGTATCGACTTTCACAATTTCAACAACAAAAATCAACATCTATGTAGGATTACCCTTCGTGGGATTTACCTACTCACATCACGGAATTACCCTTCGTGGGATTTACGGTTAACAACTTCTTCAAACTTCATCGTATAACCAAACTTACAGTAGATACATGCTACAACTAAGCTTGTTAGACTTGATATTATAGACTGTTTTGTGTTCTGTCAAAGATTAACTTCACTTCCAAAGAGCTTGGAAATCTGTAGTGGTATAGCTTGAGCACAAAAAACCAACTGTGAAACTGATCGGATACAAAGAATAGTTATCCGTTCTGTGTGAATACTTTGATGGCCTTCAAGTGCCTGACTCATTAATTCGAATTCAACATCGGATTCTACTGTTTCCATGATATCCACATCCATTTTCACTTCTTCAAAGTAAAAGACACCCATATATCCAATCAATTTTCTCCTCTTCATAATCACCAAAAGTCTCAAGAATCACTCAATAATGAATAAGCAAGTGAAGTACAGACAACAAAACATGGTTGAAGCAAATCGTCGAACACTTGGTGTGCGAAATTACCATGGATATTTACTTGCATCACTAGCCCAATCATGAATCCAGAAAATTGGAATAGGTGACAAAGAAAGCAACACAGATTTCAATTACTAATGGCTTCGTGCCACAACTTTCACTTCCCAAGCAAAATGGAAAAATTTTAGAGTACACTACTACAAAAATTAACCAGAAAGAACAATTCCATATTTGCCAGAATTTAGAATGAACCAAGAATTCACATGGACAAATCCTCAAGAAAGTGAAATTGAACCAAGAATTCAGAACGAAATCATACCCAAACTCCAAATATATCACCTTGCGGAAAAACTTAACTTTCACATGAGACTTTTGAGCTGGGCATTTCGACAAACACATAACGTGCAAGAATGCACTTGACAATTGCATCCAATTTACACCTTGATTATGAAAACCTGAACGGGACAGATGAAAAACCCAGAAACAATTCATCTTTGAAATTACAGATTACGCATTAAAGATGAAGAACCATGATGTGATCTTGACGTTGTTGAGAGAAAATTGGGCATTGGGGTGGTGCTGTAGCATTCGAAGGACAAATACAACATCGTCGAGATCGGTGGAGAAATCTCCAAACTCCAATTATATCACCACACATGCTAAGATCAATGCAATTGCAAAAAGTGATCCACTGATAGCTTCTTGGAACTCAATGGTAGTAGCACTCGCCAAATGAGATCCCAACAAATGAAATACAAAAAGATTACCCAAAAATTTGATGAAAGAACAAAGAATTCCCGAATTCAAGAACTAAAAATCAACCTAGAAGTTACAGGATGATCGCAGAAGCATCGAAGAACTTGACGGAATTTTTGATGAAAATCTGAAGAGAATAAAACCAGAAGATGAAATGTAATAAAGAATGGAACCACCACAATCCATGGCGTGAGCCTGGTGGCTCTGATACCATGTTAACTACATTGCAATGCTTGTGAATTGAAGAGAAAATCAAGAAGAAAGATGAATACAAAGAGTATGAGAGAGAAGGTTTAGAGAGAGAAATAAGATTTGTATTAATTAAAAGAATGAAGATTACACACTTTGTTTTTATACTAGTAAGCCTAACAACTCTAACAAAATACTAACAAACTTGCTAACTATATTTCTAACTGTATTGCTGACTTGTACTCTTAATAAAAGGCAACCCATGATCAGGTTAACAACCTTTTCCTCAGCCATTGTAGCATCGGATTTGAGATTTAGAATTTAGTTTTTGGGTTGAGTCTTCTGTCTCGAGACTAGTATTTTGATTTTAAGGTTCGAAGACAACAAGAATTTCACACCTGCGGCTAGGGTTTGGAAGAAGAGACAGGTCGAAACCTGCTCTCATACTAAGACAAATTTGATTTTGAATCTGTTATGTTATACAAGGCTACACTTATGGTACAAGAGAATTAAAGAATCCTAATTACATACTAAAACAATTATGTTGATTGGCGCTAACAATATACGTGTGTATATATATATATATATAGAAAATTGTAGCAATGATCCTTCAATTTTAACCCCATTGGAGTAATGGTTCCACAACTAAAAATCTATGATCATCGGTCCCTTAGCTCATCAAAACGTACAACTATGGTCGTTGTCGTCAACTCTGTCAAAAATTCTGTCAAATGAGTCATGTGGGAATGACCATTTCTACATTTGGATTAAAGTTAACGGACCATTGCTCCAATTGGGCTAAAGTTGAGAGACAATTTCTCCAATTTGGTTAAAGTTGAGGGACCATTACTACAATTTTTCTTATTTGATTTTCCATATTTGCCCATTGTTTTATCCTCACATGTGTCGAACGTGATTCATTTTAACGAAAGTTCTAACGAAGTTGACATAAAGGGTTATAGCTACACGCATTGATGAGTTAAGAGACCAATTATCATGAATTTTTTGTTAAGAGATCATAATTTCAATTGAATTAAGTTAAGGGACAATTCCTGCAATTTCCATATATATATATATCATTTTTCATTTCGTACTTTTCTTTCTAACTGTAAACCAGTTATATGTACTTTTCAAGAGAAATAAAATCATGCGATTAAGACTGAAGATGAAAACACTTTCTGGGCATTGTGACAACTTTGGGGTGAATCATGAAATAACGTTGTGCGTGATAAACAAAACATTAATTAAAGTAAGAATGATAAGAAAAAAAAATCAGACATATAGACCTCATTTGGCATAAAGGATTGAATTAGAATGAATAAGTAATTATTCTTAACTCCTTGTTTCAAGCTTTAACTCCTCGTTTTACGTTAGCAGATTTACAGGTCAAGGCCGGATAATTCTATGACATCTACTAATAATTATTTGCACATATAATGTAACAAAATGTTCATGGTGTAACAATCATCGTTAGTGCAATGTAATAAACCATTCTATATCCTTACCATTATTATATGACGTAGATGATAAACTTTAATTATTATAATGTAATTTTATTAAAACAAAGGCTGCCATAGTATTTCCCTAATATCATTCAAGGTGATTTGACTGTGAAATGATAATCAATTTTCCATACGTTAATTGAAAGCATGCATGATTCTCTTGTAGTTAATTTTGAAAACTCAAGGAAGTATTGTTGAGTATCAATCTCACATGGAGAAAGAATGGACTTTGCATATGTTTATAAGTAACTGGGTTGCTCCTCACATTCACGGGTGGATCCATTAAGGGTTAAGCGGGGTCAGTTGAATCCTTGAATTCCGGTGAATCTTAATGGATGACTCGGGTGCTGCCCCTTTGAAGGTTAGAGTGTCTTTCATACATGCCCTCAAACTACTTGATAAAATGCTTCAAAGAGAAGTTGCCACTCTTATTATTATTATTATTTTTAAATATATCAATTTGGGCGTTATTTGTGCTATGCGTTCAAGTAATGAATTTTCTCAATTGAAAGGAATTAGTAGTCTTGCAATAAAAAGTGGTGAAGACGGGGAGAACATAGTATATAATCATGTGTATTTGCTAATTCTATTGACTTTGATTTTACCGGTTGCTACTGCTTCACTGGAGATAGTCTTTTCCCCTGCGAATATTGTGAAAAGCCCATTATGTAACCGAATAGGAGATCAGTGGTTGAGTGATAGCATGGTTTTTTATACTAAGAGCAACGTTTTTTATTCCATTGATAATAAAGCTAGCGTTTTCCAAATATGAAAACGTGTCGTGGACAAGTGTAACTTGTATTGTTATTTGTTCTATAAATTATGAATGATAACACTATGGTTTAATTTGTAAGGTAATTATATATGTCTAAGAAATGTTTATGAACTTTTACATGTGACCCTCAAAATAATAGCCAATTAGTTTTGTGGTTAAACCTCAACTTTTTCAAGCACAATGAAAGAGCACTGTATTCCTTAATCTAAATTATTCCATCAGTTTACTTACGGAACACTTTCCTCCTGGCCCTTGCAAATATTATATGGAGGAGAAATTGACTTGCTACAAGAGAAATGGAAGCTCAACGGAAATTGATCTCCATTATACAACTATACAATTTTTATCTAATTATGTATAAAGCGTCATAGCTTAGCCTGTATAACTTACCACCCAAGATTTGTTCAAATTTCACAGCATTAGAAAAAAGAAGAAAGAAAGGGATTGATACTTGGTGAACATCTCTTTAATATTTCGACTAAATTAGCTAGCCATCCCTTGTTCAGTGTGTGTGAGAGTATGCCTGGCGATATTGAAACCGGACCTTCCGAGCCTAGCCCTGCAGCTACTGCGCGAGGGCACCGAGGGGAAGAAATAATTCCCGAGGGTAGCAATTCAGAAGGGCACCCGGAGAATGAAAAAGAAGAAATTCCCAGAACAAGGGATGGGAACTCGGTGTCCATATACAAAGTTCCTGCCAGCCTCGCTGAAATCAGTCGGAAAGCCACTGAGCCTGAAATGGTCTTCGTTGGGCCATGGCACTGCGACAAGAGAAGCCAATCGGAATTTGAGAGCACCAAGCATTTGTATCTAGCTGCCTTACTTGATCGAACAAAGCGTAACAAAAAAGACTACTTGGAAGCCATGAGAGCTATCGATGAAAGCACAAGAAGTTGCTACTCCAAAGATCATCGTTGTAAGTTCTTCTCCGAGTTGAAGGGAGATGAATTTGTTGAAATGATGGTGCTTGATGGGTGCTTTATCATTGAGCTTTTTCATCGTATGAATACGGAAGATCCCATGGAGAAAAACGATCCCATCTTAAGCAGGCCATGGTTGATTCCAATTGTCACTAGGGACCTCCTCAAGCTTGAAAATCAAATCCCTTTCTCCGTCCTCCAAAAATTACACTTTGTCTCCACGAATCAACTTCAAGAGAAAGCAAAGGGCTATTCTCTAGTCCTTCTTGCGCTGAATTTGTTCAATAATTTGTTGCATCGACCTATTGACGTGCTTAAAAAGTCACAACCGTCAGAGGACCCCAAGCACTTACTTGACTTGGTTTACTCGAGCTTCTGTCCCCAAAAACAAAGTACAAATCCAAATGATCCATCGACCAATAAAACCAAAAAACAAAAAAATCCAAATGACCCTTCTCCAAAGTACCGTCCATCCTCCGAGTCAATCCAGTGTACCGTACAACTAAGATCCTCCGGGATCAACTTCAAGCCACAAAGAGCGGACAGCTTCTTGAACATCAATTTCCAAGGTAGCATATGTAAGGTACTACAAATCCCACCTATAGCAATTAACGACTTCACCACTACCCTCTTCATCAACTGCATGGCCTGGGAACAATGCTACCAAAACAATCCTACGTGGTTCACCACCTATATTGCTTTCATGAGCAACCTCATCACTTCACCTAGAGACGTCACACTCCTGTGTTCTGATGGGATCATCACTAGTGGCTTCTTATACAACGACCACAACGTAGCGGAGCTGTTCAAAAAGTTGGGGGAAAAGGCTGTCTTCAACATAAGGGAATGCTACCTCTCCAAGCAATTCAGAGATGTGGAGGCATATTACAGCAGCCATTGGGCTACTTTCATCCGAACTTATTTTAGCAAGCCATGGTCCTTCATCTCAGTTCTCTACGCCATCGTCCTTCTTTTTTTAACCGGGGGCCAAACTGCCATGTCTATCTTGAGCTACATAAACGACCGTAGTAAGAATTGCACGAATGCATGTGGGTAAAGCCGCTCGTTTTGTTCTTGTCTTTGGATTATCCGCAGGGAACCTTGTGGGTGTGTGTGATACGGCCTAGAGCCTTTGGTTATTTGTTTGTTATTTGTGTGTTGTGGTGGTATGTGTGACTCTTTTTCTTTCACAGGAATTTTTTCACGTGGTTTTATCTGGGTAATTTTTTTTATAGTCACCTATGTTTTAGGTGTCAGCTTTATGTATGTTTTTATGTTATTAATGAAATTTACATTACTCCTATAAAAAATCATGAATTAGTGTGATTTAAAAATAAAAAAAACTTCATATGTATATGGCATTGTGACACCACTTGTATGTGTTGTATATGTGCTTATTAAGTTATCAAAAATTAAAGTGAAAATTTGAGTTTTTCAGTAGGATAAGACTGTCATAAGGGTGGCAGGAATTGCTCGTTTTGTTCCTGTCTTTGGATTATTTCGGTGGTTACCATGTGAGTGTGATACGGCCTAGACCCTTTTGTCATTTGTGTGTTGTGATAAGGAATGCATTCTTTAATCTTTTGTCATAAGGATGGCAGGAAATGCTCGTTTTGTTCTTTATTTTTGCCCGCCTACTCTCGATCAAACCGCCTTTGCGAATGCCATTTCATCACACTTTATGTTGACTTAAGATTAACTCAAATTTGTACATCAATAAAATTAATATTCTTAATCACATTGTTTGGTTGGTAGTTTATTCATATCTACTATCTAATTAATTCTCTTTTCTATATGATTCCCTAAACGTGATCTAGAACGTGCTTCCTAAATCACATTATGTGCTATGATCAAAGACTCCTGAATCATAATACTCTCCTTCTAAGTTAGAAGGTTAGAAATCTCTTATTTTACACTCACATGGTTTCATAAATAAGTCTAGGACTTCGATAATGCCTAGAAGAAACCATGTGGTTATGACATATCGTCAAAATGGTCAAAGACATCTCCATAAGACAACTATGGTGCTTGGATCAAATGACTATTTTGCATTATCTCAATGAGTGAGTTCTCATATGACATGAGTTCGAGAACTCATGTTTAATTGCGTTTAGTGAACTCATCTTCTATTGAGCACCTACGTAATTGTCCTTGTATCTTTTATACTCATGACTCGAGACTAATCACTATCTGAAGAGAAGACATAATATATATAGTATGTACTAATTTTATCAGATTGCCCTATGATAAAAAAAAATAATAATAAAAAATAATAATAATAATAAAAAAACATTTAGGATCTATGTATGGGAGAGAAATGTCTCATGAAATCTAACTTCTTTTAGATTACATGCCCTCCATTGCTTATTTCTTGGGCTTATTGTTTAAGTGTATAACATTTAATGAGAGAGCTATAAACAATAATTTTTGCCTTTGGATTAAACTGAATCAATTTAATATTTGAAATGTTGTAAAATATCATCTCATGATTAGGGCACATTTCTAACTCCATGACCACGACCACCCACCTTCACCATTTCACCATTGTCACCACCACACCACCATAGCCCCTGACTGCCACCCCATCCTCCACCGCCATCACCACCTCCACCGTCTCACTATCGCCGCCACCGCCACCGCTACTACCATATTATTAACTGTCATCACTATCACCACCAGAGCCACCACCACCTGCCTCCACCCTTTCATTGTCTCAACGCTACAACCTCCATCACCACCACCACCGCCATCACCCTCATTATGATCACTACCACTTCCACAATCCTCGCCACCTCTCAAACACCATTTTTGAAACCATCCCTCACGGCCATTGTTAACACATTAGCCTCTGCCATAGTTGCCGCAACCACCACTACTCCCTCCACCACTACCCCTACCTCGTTATTGCCACCACCAATATTCCACCACTACTAACATCTCTATTGTCACCATTACTACCAGCACTTCAATCACCATTGCTACCAACACCACTATCATAGCAACCATCATCTTTACCACCACCGCCGCCGCCGCCATTTTAATTGTTTTACAAAAACATTACTATCAAACACAAATTTAATACTTTTTTTGTTTGACATTTTAGATTTTGATACTAGACGCGTTTTTAATGCTTTCATTTCAAAAAATCATTCTTAGATTAAACTACCTGATGTGATAATGCAAAATCTTATTTGTCGTTTTGTTTTATAAAATAGTTGTCCAAAAATTATTTTGTAAAACAATACCGTATGGATCCTTAAATGTTTTTTAGTTTTGTTTGTAAAATAGGGTACCAAACAGCCCTAAACTTTGGAAGTATATTTGGACAAGAGGCTGTAAAGTTTCCAGTGACAAAGAATATAATCCCCATAGACCAAGACTATGGTAACTAATCATGTTTAATGTTTAATCAATAAAGCGTGCAATATAGGCATCAAGGCCAAGACAGAATAAAGCCGGGCACAATTTCATCAAACCAAGCCCATTGGGGCTTTTGCCTAAAGGGATAAATATAATGTTGAGCTTACTTACAAAATGAGTTATGTCGAGAGTGCATTCTATACAAGGAAAGTAAAAGATCTTTCGTGACCTGGCATTCGTGTCGTGTTTTTCGTGTTCGTGTCATTTTCATGTCATACCCGATATCTTAACAGGTTGTGTCGTGTAACATCCGTTAAAATAAACGGGTAAAATGACCCAACCTGAAATCGACCCGATAATATTAACAGGTAATATGACCCGACCCGTTACCCATTAAGGAAAATATATTTTAAACCAATAAATAATCAAATGAAAAATATAATACTAAATAAGTATATACATACCATATTGTCACATCCAAAACATAAAAACGCATTTTTCTTTTAAATATATTTTCACTTACCTAAAGTCTTTAATAGTTTTTTAATTAATGTAGAAGTGTAAAAAAATATTAAAAAAATATAGAAACACTCGTAATGACAAGTTTTACAACTTTCATGAAGAGCATAACTTCAAAATTTTCCACTAATCATATAAATCATAGATCAAAATTTAACCGTTGATTATTGTTTACATTTACGCTTCATTGTTCTCATCAAATTTTGTTTTTTCAAATTTTGATTTTTTGAAAACTTGATCTATTAGAGGATGCAGGAAGATGAACGGTTTGGATCGTTGATATTATATTCAAAGTTTTACGGTTAGTGAAAATATTGATTGATGTTTATAAAGTTTCTACAAACTATATGACATTGACCCATATTTCAATTAACCATAAATATCGAAACGTAATATCAAAGATCTGAACCGTTCATCTTCTTACATCTCCCAGATGATCATGTTTTCAAAAAAGAAAATTTTAAAAATGAAATTCAGTAAGAAGAATAAAGCGTAAATGGCAATCGACGGTTAAATATAAATTTAAGGTTTATGAATTATAGTGTTGGATTTCGAAGCTGACCCCTTCATGAAAGTTGTAAAGTTTGTCACTATGAGTGATGGTATATTTTTTTTTACATTTGTTACACTTCTACAATAATTATTATTAATTTTCTTAATTTTGCCCTCAAATAAAAAACATTATTCATGAAGGTTTGGAGGATTTTAAAAATCTAAACGATAATGTAAGTGTAACCATTATCTACTTGTGGAGGAATAATGATAAATCACGAGTGTTTATATATTCTTTCACATTTTTCATACTTGTATGTATGTCTTCTTAGTTCTTGCCTATACAAATACTATATTAGTTTATTTTAATTTTGGACAACAATATGTTAAGTAAAATTTATCTTAGTAATGATAATAAGGAACTCTCATAATAAAAATAAATAATGACTAAAACTCTTTTTTAAAAACTTATATAGAATAATAATACAAAACTATATATTTAATATAGAATATATTGTACATATTAATATGGCTATTGTATAATAAATCTTTTAGTAATTAAACTTTAAAATGATCAAAATAAATTTTTTCTTAACGGGTCGAAACGGGTTACCCACGTGTTACCCGCGTGTATACCCGTTATTAACGGGTTCTTAACGGGTCACCCGATAATGACCCGATAAGTTATCATGTTGAACCGAAACCCGTTATTTTCGTGTCGTGTCAGAAATTGCCGGGTCTACGTGTCATAATGAGTTGGACTACTCTTTATATTGTTAATTGTTTTATAGTGAAACCTTAACTTCTTCCATAATATCCTAACAGGTTACACCTTTCTCGACCACAGTATACATGTTAGGCTACTACACGTGACAAAGCATGTTGAGAGTGAGTCCTACATCAAGGAAGGAACCTTACACATGTTTATAAGAAGTTGATCCACTCGCTATGTTCCAAATTTAGTTTTATGACGAAACCTCAACTTCTTCAGTTTCTTTTACGATCAATCTCTTCAATTTCAAATTTGATTAATAAACCAGCCAAATTGGGTAGGAAATGACAGAAGCAATCAAATAGCAACAAGCAATCATATTGATGATACCTTATAGCAACCAACCCTGCTTTGTATCTCTATGTAAAATCATTTGCCATGTACTTGATTCTATACACCCAAATTACATCCGATCTTGGAGGTTACAAAGTGTTGTCTATTATCGACACAAACATTCCTCTTGCATCGGTCTCCAAGACTCCAACTACATACTATTTGACTTTCGTGTAGTTTCTGCAACAATTCAATTACAAAAAATGATCTTGTAAATGGCTGCTTCTGCATACTGGCAATAACTGAAGGGCTCGCCTGCATTTGAAACATGTCTGCACCAAAAGATGATTTGCATAAGGAAAATAATAGCAACAATGTTCTCTCCGATTAATATATAGCCAATAAAACTGTTCAACAGCATGTAAATGAACACTTGAAAACACAGTAAGTAAAAGAAAGAAGCAAGCAATTGCATATGCATATATAACAATAGATGGTAGACAATTAAACCTTTTCAGATCCCTAAAATCAATTTGTGATCTTCGGTGCCCACAGGAATCCGACACCATGGACAATGATAAATCTTTGGTTTGCATTTGCTACATATCTGCACCGAGGGGAAGAAAAATCAATGTCTTCTCAGCAATCACAACATATCTGTACTGAAAACTCAACTAAAAAAGCACCTGATGCCCGCAATACAAGACCATGTTCACTGAATTACCGACGCACAATGTACAATCCTGTACAAGACCATGCAAAATGTTATCCTGGTAATAAATCGTAGAATCATCGTAACATAAAGTTGCAAACACATGAAATTACCCATAAAAAATGCACATAAAAGCTTCAAGGGTTTCAAATTCAACACAAGAGTCACAACTACAAAATTACAATCATCAAAGCACTAAATACTCTTAGTTACCACTTTCAAATTTAGGTTACAATACAAGAACTGTACAGAACATAACAATAAAAAAACCAGTCAAACTATGCCGTACACAAAAGACCGGCAGCAACAATAGACCTAAGCTTAATCTCATGTGATGCCTGTCTTACAGGGTTTTGAATTCAACACAAAAGTAGCAACCACAAAACTATAAACATCTAGTAAATACTCAGTTACCACATTTAAGTTTAGGTTATTATACTCTATTGTTCATGAGTACCCCTTTCATAAATACATCAAAATATATCTACATATATTAAAATGAACTTCTGATGTGCAATATGACGTTTTTCACCTCCGAATCCAAATTCCCTTGATAATACCAGTACCAGTTTCTTTAGAAGAACTGTGAACAAAATTTAGATGTGTCAGCTTAAAAGTCTGCATACCTCATTCTCATTGGTAGAATTTACAGCAGGTGGAGCCCTCTTAAAAGTCTGACCACTGTCCATTTAAAAGAAAATATATATGAAAATGATGTCAACAGGTAATCAACAGCTTTTCACGATAAGAAATATAGAGGACATTGCGAGGGCAACCATTTGGTAAAATTGCCATTCCAACCACTGCCTGTTTTAAAAGAAGAAATTACACATGAAGAATGGTGTCAACAGGTAATCAAATGTTTTAACAGATGAGAAATATCGAGAACACTAGTACCCTGACATAGATAAGTTTCTTGTTGCGTTATACTGAGAAGGAATTTTCATCAGAGTTGCTTGTGTAAATTCGGCCTTCTTTTGTGAAGGTGGCACATTCTTTGTCACAATGTCCATAAAATTCACAAACTACAAACAAAAGAGATGTGCTTTCCTATTCAGTATTTTCCAATAATCAATAAGCCAAAATCATGAGTAAGAAACAAGAATTAATGAAAGTCTAAGCTCTTACATGGAGATTATCAAATGCCCGACTACGAGTAGAGTCACCAAGTCTCTTCATGATGTCCCAGGGTCCATCACCAACACCAACTAATATAATTGATAAAGGGAACTTGCTGCGATAAAAGAAGCATACCAAATCAAAAATGGTTGGGCGTGTTAGTGTTAAAACGAATTTTAACCTTCCTTGTGAGCTGTGACTCACAGGTACGTTCTGTATTATGGAATAAAACCTATTTACACCAATGAAGAAGATGATGCAGTGAGAGAAAGAGATGAAGAGTGCAGAGAATATGACTCTGCAAATGTTTTCACTGTTTCATTCCACCGAGAGTGAGAGAGGAAAAGTCTCTCTCCTCTTAATTGCAATTACAATTTAAACTTGGCAATATTCAAATTACATCCAACCAATCCTAGCCATCCATCTTACATCCTATGAGATGAAGACACATATACACTCACTTGTTTAAGACCTATGAGACATAATAAGAAAGCATACACATAATCCTAGCAATATGAGCTAGAAACCAACTGCCACATCAGATCACAATTTACACACTAACAGCCCCCTTTAAATTGTGGAATGATTTAACTCCAAGAAGTTCCCTCAGATAATTGAATTGTTCCCTTGCCAATGCCTTTGTAAAAATATCAGCAATTTGCTCTTTCGTAGGATAGTGCAACAGCTCAATTACTCCTTGCTGCAGTGCTTCCTTTATGAAATGGTATCTCCTGTTGATGTGCTTGGTCTTCTGATGAAAGATAGGATTTTTAGTGATAGCTATGGCTGAAGTATTGTCACAATTCATTGGTGTTGCAACTGTTTGCATTTCACCAAAGTCCTCCAAAACAAATCTCAACCAAGTAGCCTATGCAGTTGCTTCAGATGCACTAATGTACTCTGCTTCAGCTGTGGATAACGCAACACATTGTTGCTTGACTGAAGACCAAGAGAAAACTCCACTGCCAAACATAAAGGCATACCCATATGTACTTTTCATATCATTTTCAGAACCGCTCCAGTCACTGTCACAAAATCCCACTACGATTGCCCTTTCACCTTTCTTGTATTCCAAGCCAAAATCAAGAGTTTCTCGAACATATCTTTGTACTCTCTTTGCTGTCCCAAAGTGCTTGTTGGTTGGACAGTGCATAAACCATGATAGCAGACATGCAGCATACATTATATCAGGTCTAGTTGCTGTGAGATACAGCAAACTGCCTACAATTTGTCTATATTGAGCTTCATCTGCAGTCCCACTTCCATCTTCTTTTCTCAATTTATCACCTGGAACCAATGGAGTACTCACTGGCTTACAATCTTGAAGTCCAAATTTCTTCAGTAGAGAGGAAGCATACTTTCTCTGAGGAATGAAAATATACTCCTCAGTTTGCATTACTCCCATACCAAGAAAGTGATGTAGGAGTCCAAGGTCAGTCATCTCATATTTGAGCATCATATCAGATTTAAAAACATCCATCAATTCCTGATAACTTCCAGTGTATATTATATCATCAACATAAATGGATACTATAATCATTTCTGAATCTTTCCTCCACTTGGTATACAAAGTTGCTTCGCTGGTGCTTTTCTTAAACCCACAGAGTGTAAGATATGAGTCTATTTCACCATACCAGGCCCTTGGTGCCTGCTTCAGACCATACAGTGCTTTATGTAACCTGTTGACCTTATCTTGCTCTTCTTGTACAATAAACCCATCTGGTTGATCCATATACACTTCCTCTTCTAGCACACCATTCAAGAATGCCGATTTTACATCCAATTGAAACAGCTTCCATTTGTTCTTTGCTGCCAGTGCAATTAATGTTCTGATTGTATCCAACCTTGCAACAGGTGCAAATGTTTCATTATAATCAATTTCGGACTTTTGTGCATAGCTTTTTGCAACAAGCCTAGCCTTGTTCTTTTAAACTGATCCATCCAGATTCAATTTAGTTTGGTACACCCATTTCACACCAATCACAGGTTTATCAGATGGTCTTTTCACTAATTCCCAAGTCTTATTTTTCTCAATCATGCTAATTTCATCTTCCATGGCTTTCTTCCATGCTTCATCCTGTGCAGCTTCATAATAGGATTCTGGTTCAACAATACACACATGACATCTTTCATAGATTTCACTCAAATTTCTATATCTCATAGGAGTATGATCAACCTGACGTGTAGAAATTGAGTCACTAGCACTTCCTGACTCAATGAATGGAAAATTTGTAATTTGAGTCTGAGAACCTTCAATAACAACTTGTTCCATGAAATCAGAATCCTCATCAGCTTCTTTCATCTCTGGAGATTCACTTGCAACAAATGGAATGTACACTTCTTTGATCTTCTGTTTATCCCAATCCCATTTACCATTTTCATCAAAAATAACATCTCTTGAAAGGATTACTTTCTAAGTTTCAGGATTAAGTAATTTGTACCCCTTTTCACAAGTGCCATATCCAATAAAAATACCAATGACACTTGTTTCATCCAACTTATGTCTCAGATTTCCTGGAATAAGAGAATAACCTAATGAGCCAAACACTCTCAAGTGTTAAATTCCAGGTTTTCTTCCACTGAATTTATCAAAAGGTGTCACATTTTCCAATGCTTTTGTAGGACATCTGTTGAGCAAATAGACAGATGTAACCACAACTTCACCCCAAAGACTATAAGGAAGACCTTTCTCATGAAGCATACACTTTGCCATCTCCACTATAGTTCTGTTTTTCCTCTCTGCAACTCCATTCTGTTGTGGAGAGTATGCAACAGTAAGCTGCCTCTCCAAACCCAAAGCTTCACAAAACTGTTCAAACTCATTTTAGATGAATTCTCCTCCTCTATCTATTCTCAATTTCTTCACAGAAAAGCCACTTTGAAGTTCCACCATAGCTTTGAATTTCTTGAATACATGAAAGACATCTTACTTGTGTCTCAAGAGATATATCCAGCACATCCTCAAATAATCATCAATGAATGTAACATGTCTGTTTCCACTCATGATTGGTGTTTGCATAGGGCCACACACATCTGAGTGTATGAGTTCCAATGGCATTCTTGCTCTCCAAACCGACTCCCTTGGAAATGACACTCTATGATTCTTACCAAATGCACATCCCTGACATACACCTTCACTGTCATGCATTTCAGGTAACCCAATAACCATATCATGCTCCTGCAATTGTTGCAGACTCCTATAATTCAGGTGACCAAACCGTTTATGCCACATTGTACTACTCTGATGCACATTGGTTTTCAGTACCAAGTGATCGTTTGATTTGAACACAAATGGAAAACATCTATTCCCCTTTTGCTTCACACTAACCACTAAATTTGTCAGAGTTCTGTCATAAAAAATATCCACCTTATAATCACCAAATACCAGAAAATACCCATGTTCAGTCATTTGCCCAACACTGAGTAGGTTCTCTGCAATTCCAGGTACCAACATAACTTATCTTATGTACCTTTTCCCTTTATCAGTGTCAATGACTAAGGTTCCTTTGCCTTTCACATCAACAAGAACTCCTATGCCAACTTACACTTTTGCCTTAATACTTCTATCAATTTCCACAAGTAACTCCTCTCTGGAAGTCATATGGTTACTGCACGCACTATCTATATACCAGGCATCACTCACAGCCTTCACTTCAGCTGATTGCTTAACCATAAACAGATTTCCAGGTTCTCCCATCTTATTTGCAAAGTTCTTTTGTTCTACCACTTTGTTTGCAAAATTTCCTTGCTGGACATTCTTGTTGAGATTACAAACTCTGGCAATATGACCAAGTTTCCCACACTTGTGACATTTAATCTTCCCTTTTAACCAACATTCTCCATAGTGAAGTTTATTACAATATTTACAAGCACCTCCAGAGTTATTTGCTTCATTCCTGACACCCGGAGTGAACCTGTTAGTCCACTGCTTCCCTTTGAACTTGAAATTCTTCTGAGATTTCGATCCACCATTATTGGTAAACTGATTACCAACTTTACTGTTCTTAGATGAAATATCTAAGCTAGAAAATGCACATTCAGTGCTATTCTCTTCATGCCTAGTTAATCTCAATTCATACCCTTTCAGGATGGCAACCACATCTTGTGCATCAATTACATCAATATCTTTAGTATTTTCAATAACAGAAGCAATACTATCATATGATTTAGATAAACTGATCAACAACTTTTGCACAATTCTTTGATTACTAAGATCTTCACCATACTTTTCATCTGATTTATCAAATCAAACAACCTAGCTAAATATGCAGCTAGAGATTCACTTTCACCTATACGAGTATATTCAAAATCACGACGAAGACCTTGTAATTTCACAGATCGTACCTGTTTATCTCTTACGAACCCTTGCTTCAGAATATCCCAAGCTGCCTTCGCAGTTTCTAGAGTTGCAATCCGTGGAAAAATTTGGTCCGACACTGCTCCTTGAATGATTCCAAAAGCCCTCGCATCCTTGACCAAATTTTCACGATGCAATTTCATCTCCACCTCTGCTATCTCACCCTCCTCCTTCGCTGGAGGTAGAAAACCCATCTCAACAATGCTCCACAACTCGTGAGATCGGAAAATTGTTTTCATTCAAATTTGCCAGAAATCGAAGTTCTCTCCGTTGAATATCGGAGCGCGAAGCTCTCCTCCACCAGATCCAACCATGTTAGATTAAGATCTCACTCTCACTAACTTTCTCTGCAACGAAATGTTGCTAGAACAAACCCTCATAAAATCTACGCCCAATAAATCAGACCTAACAAGGCTCTGAGGCCATGTTAGTGTTAAAACGAATTTTAACCTTCCCTGTGAGCTGTGACTCACATGTACGTTCTGTATTATGGAATAAAACCTGTTTACACCAATGAAGAAGATGATGCAGTGAGAGAAAGAGATGAAGAGTGCAGAGAATATGACTCTGCAAATGTTTTCACTGTTTCATTCCACCAAGAGTGAGAGAGGAAAAGTCTCTCTCCTCTTAATTGCAATTACAATTTAAACTTGGCAGTATTCAAATTACATCCAACCAATCCTAGCCATCCATCTTACATCCTATGAAATAAAGACACATATACACTCACTTGTTTAAGACCTATGAGACTTAATAAGAAAGCATACACACAATCCTAGCAATATGAGCTAGAAACCAACTGCCACATCAGATCACAATTTACACACTAACAGGGCGAACAAAAAATTATTATTAAGACAAAGTTTACTACTCACCTTGCTTCAACAATGGCATCAATTGTCTTCTGCTTCTGCACACCAAGCTTTGTCACATATTATCAACACTTCAAGTTAGTCACAAATCATAAAATGCAGAAAGCAAGCATGTGTTTTGAAGCTAAAAACAAGTTGATTTGTAGCATGACTGGCCCTCTTGTTGCATATTCAACTAAAGAAAACGATATTTAGGCAAAATACCTGACCGCTCGTAATTATCAACAGGACATGGAATTGGCCACCACTCTTCTCAACGATAGACATGGCCATTTGAATTATAGGTGCAAATGAAGTTGGACCTGCCAGAAATAAGAATTACGAAGAATGACTAATTAGAGAATATGAAGACTTCTTGAACAATAAGAAGAATAAATACCTAGGATGCAATGCAACAGTAAAACCTGCAAGTTGTAGAAAAGGAACAATTTTCCTGTAGGTTGTCAATACTTCCTCAAATCCGTTGCAAAGTCTGTCATCCGGATAAAAACTGAAGACATCTTCATCATGGGTTGTCGCTGAAAGTTAGAAAAACAGTGTTTCTCAACCCGATGTTCCAAAGAATAAAATCATTGAGAAACAAAAGGTAAGTAATCATTTAATAATTACCATCTCCAAAGCCAAAACATGGAATTAAGTTATCCTCATCGAAACCAGCCAAGATTTTTCCAATAGTGGATATCGCCTGTTCATAGGGATTTGGACCACAATCCCCAATGTGGTGCAAGCTTCTTGTGTTAAATGACCTTCCACCTATTTACAGAACAAATTTCAGCATGTTTCACTGCTGCAACACACAGCATAGTACATATATTTCAAGAGATTGAAGGCTTAACCTGTCCACTCATTGCTCTTTGTGAAATCTATACCCACAATAAGATTGGAAGACTCGAGACCAGCATGTTCAAGAGCCCGAGTCACCTGCAATCAGAAAAATAAACACATTTGAGTCAGAAAAACTGAACATTTGTGGTAGGTAAGGAAATCTCAACGACAAAGGAAAGCTTGCAGAAAATACTGCATGACAGTGCCAGTCTTACCTCAATCAGGGAATTGTAATAGCTCTGAGTTTCTTCAGAAGCTGGCAAATGGGCTTGAGGATATCCACTCTTTGAAGAAGGCCTTGATTGAGACGACTTCGCCCTCCCCTGCATTGTTGAAATGCATCCACCCATTACCTCAACTCTCAACAGAAATTCTCCAATTCTAGACCAGCAATCACAATGCAGGAGGAACCTACCACAAATCAAAACCCAGAAAGATGAAAAACTTGAATCAAAAGCTGCAATACACACAAACACAAGCATTGACGAACATTTGACTAATTTTAGGCTAAAACATGTTCAAGATTGGATCCCAAAATTTTCAAAAAATTGACAGATTCCTAAGGATATTGAATTGCAGATTCTATTCAATGACAGACATGTCCTTCTCAGTTAAGTAATCTCCAATTAGCAACATAGTAGACAACCAAGTACCATAATCCTAAGATCATGTATAGGATTACTCTGTCAACCAGCCTGTGAACGAAATGAATTTTGCCCCCGTATCGGTGGCCTTGAAATGCCCCCCCCCCCCCCCAATTAACTTTACATGTTCACAGAAATTCCCCAATTTTAGAAAACTCTTCCTGTCACTTCACAATGCAGAACGCACCACAAAACCAAGAAAAGGAAAACCTTGTATCCAAACAAGAAGTCACGTATACACACACTCCAATTTCAGACGAAGTACCCTTCCCGTCACCTCACAATGCAGAACCCACCACAAAACCCCAAAAAACAAAAACCCTTGAATCCAAACTGCAAGAACACACTCACACACATACAGACTGATCATATGGAATTCCAGATAAAGGAAGCTTACAAAATCTCCTTGAAAATTTGTAATTTTCTTGCAAACCAAACACCAAAGGTAGTGTTGGATATGATTGATTCATGTTTTTTTCTATTCGGTGACATAACATGTGCCTTCACAGTTACGTAATCTCCAATTAGCGACTTAACCGATGAGATGACTCAGAACTACGTGGCCTGTAGATAAGGGCAGTCAGGATGCGGCTTTATCATAAAGCCAGTTAGGATGCTTTTCCAGGTGGCCAAAGTCGGAGCCAGGACGGTTTTCCGGGTAGCCTACAGCTGCGAACCAAAGTCAAGATCTGTCCGAATTTCAACAGAACCTCATCTATGGTTTAAAAGTTTGAATTTTTATTACAAATCATAAAGAAACAGCATAAGTGTAAGCTTTAGCTTCCCAAAAAAAACAAAATCACTGCAGAATATACAGCATATCATTCAATCACATATCCTATAAGAACATCGATCTTTCAGTATCCCAAGTAAATCAAAACATAGAATTCATCACCTCGATCTTCGATCTGTGATTTGCTCAATCTTAATTTCTATAAGTAGAAAAATTTGAAGCGATAAATATATACCTTTTTCACTTGGACTAATCAGCCAAAAACGGCAGTTAACGATCGAGTGTGATGGAACACCGAACACGCCCGCCAAAAAAACGAAAAAGGGTGGAAATGGAAAAGTAATGAGAGTTGAACCCAAAACCCTGTTATGTCCTCTTTCGTGGTTTCGAATTTTTGTCCGTCGGGGCAATGTAGACAATATGCACGCTTTCACGGTGTTGCAAAAGCAGGGGACAGATCTTCGGGCCCACTATCCTTCCTTTTAAATGATGACACGTGTAAATTCCTGTCATCGTAAATTACGCATTCCAATATATAGAGCACGTACAAGAAAAACCTTTGCGAAGAAGTTCACCGTCGGCCGGTGCCCACCTCCCCCGCGGCACCTCCCTTCCTGCGACGCTGTCGTTCATGTCCTCCGCCAACGAAAGAGAGAGAGGAAGGGGGCTCTCGTTCTGTTGGCTCTCGCTCTGTTGTCTGCATTGGGTGGCGGTCAGGAGGGCGGGGGGAGGGGTTTGGCCGCGTCAGCTCCGATTCCGGCAACACACTCCACATCCCCAGATCTGGAATTTTTCTCCCTCCTTCTCTCTCTTTCTGCCCTCCGGATCGGTTTCTCTCTCTATCCTCCTAGGACAAGGCATTAGTGGAGAGAGAAATACTTCGGCAACGGGTAATTAAGCGGCAGGTTCAGTATAAACTGGGATTCATTTTTCCTTTAAGTGCTTTCGGCCCTGGAAGATAGAGAGAGAAACTGAGATAGAGGGGAGAGAGAGAGAGAGAGAGAGAGAGAGAGAGAGAAGTCATATCAGTCGAGGGGGAGTAATCGGGTTGTCCGAGCCGGCGGCAGCCGTTTCTGTTTTTGGTCTTGAGGGGTAAAAAGGGAAGTTCATTACTTATCGGGTAAAAAAGCGGTACAGAAAGGTTTGTTTTGTTTTTTGTGAAAGGCGGCACAGAAAGGTTAACTCAATACAATTAATTTTGAAGAGTATATCAAAAGCAAATGATATTTATAATATAGGTAGTTAAAACTGATGTTGTAGGTCACCTGATGCTGCTGCTTTGTTGATCCTGTCTTGTTCAATGAAGTGTGTTTCCTCTCAAAAAAAAAAAAAAAAAATTAACGACAAAAAAAATCTAGGATATAGATATATTAAATAAGTAAAAAGATAAGGTAGAGTGCATTCTACTTCTTTATACTAGCATATGGGCACACAAAGTGTATGAGAAAATATTTTTTTTTTGTTTTCAAAATAGAAAGAGAGAGGAAGAGAGTGATAGAGAATGTGAGAGTGAGAAGTTTTTTTTTTTTTTTAATTAGAGATATGTTAAAATTATATGTAGGTGAGGCTTTGGAAAAAAAAACAGCAAAATTTGGTTGTGTGAAATGACATTTATGCCCTATAGTTCTTATTTATGTTTGTTTAATTAGAGGGTTAAACTGGTAATTTCATAGGATTTTGATTGACAATGAATGTTTTATTAATTAGTAGAGATTTGTGTTCAACGGCACTTTATACAATATTTTAAAACATTTCAATCTCATACATTTATTTATTATTTCATTTCAATGTCATATATAGAGGTGGGCACTAGCCGGGCCTGGCCCAAAATTGAAAAAACCGGACTGGACCTGTTGGAAAATGAAACGGGAAGGACCGAGCCGGGTAAAATAAAATAAGAGTTGGAATCGGACCTAACTCGGCCTGTTTAAAACAAGCCAATTCCTACGAGTCCACGGGTACTTTTCCCTGTTGTGCTTTCTCTTAACCTACAACAAGCAGCGAACGGATCTACGAAGCTTCAAGAAATTTCAAGTTCCCAAGGCCCTATACGCATGTTTCAACTCAAATTCTTGCAAACAACAACCCATAAATCCAATCAACTACGAAATTAGCAAGAACCCAAAAAACACATACATAATAATGCAATCTTCAACCTAGATAAAAATAAATAAATAAACAAAACAATTCAATTTTGATATGAGCGAGCTTTATACAACAGCAGGTATTACACACTGGAAATTTCAAGATGGATCGTCATATTTGAATACTTTTTGTTTGAAGATTTGGCTTTGAGATGGATCGTCATGGTGGTCGCAGTTGAGAGGAGCTGAGGATGGAGCTCAGATATCGAGAATTTGGTCAGTCTGGGGGATCGAGAGTTGGTCAGTCTAGGAGAGAGAGATCGAAAGGGAGGAAAGTCTCTGAGTTTAAGAACCGATTAAGATGATATGGGAGAGATAGATCAAGAGGAGGAGAGTCTCCGAGTTTAAGAATCAACGAAGACGATCTGGGAGAGAGATATCGAGAAGGAGGACAGTCTCCAAGTTTAAGAATTGACGAAGAAGGTCAAGATCAACGAAGACGATTGAGGACAGAGGAGAACCGGAGAAACCGAAAGAGGAATTGCAGAGACCCTGTGTGTGTGTGTGTGTGTGTGTGTGAAAGAATGAATGAATGCATGTGTATACGGTCCTGGCTGAGGGCTCGTGTATACTCAGAAATTGGAACCGTCCCACCCCACCATATACTTAGACCCGCCCTACCCCAATCCGTTTCGTGTATTAAATATAAGGCTCGTTTGCCCGCCCCTAGTTGTATACCTATTAATGGATTCGTTAACTTGACCTTAAATAGTGATGTGGCAAACTTAAAACCTACATTTATGTTGAAGTGTATGTCACAAATACGTCACATAGGCAAAAAGAAAAAAAAATTAAAAATTCCTTTTTTTTTTGTTAATAACTTTTTTTTAATAAAATAAAATAATATTTTTTTATTAACAATCAATATTATCTACACTAATGGGAAGGGGGTGAGTTTTACCTCACAATGAGCTAGCTATAATATGGTTCAAATTTACATTTGACAAAAATCGAATCTAAAATATCTTACTTGCAAGTGAAGAGGAATATCACTTATCCGTAGTTTAAGAGAAAAAAATAAAATTCCTTTAAGATTAAAATAATTTAAACTTTTTTATAAAAACTATGTGAGTCCCACCCATCAAACAAAGATGGAGAAATTGGTTGGGTGGGCCTACAACTTGTGTGTTTGGAGGAAAGAGATCATCTCCGAATTTCTCTCTCCAAAACCCAGGGATCAAGTGATCCGGGATTTTAAAATTTGATCAAACAGCGAAAAACAGATAAGTTAGAAAGAAAATTTAAAATCTATAATAATTTTTAGTCGTTTGATCAAATTTCAAAGGCCCGGATCACTTGATCCTTGGACTTTGGAGGAAAAGATCCGAAGATGATCTCTTTCCAGTTTTGGGCTCTCTATTTCCTAAGGTTATATTTTTGAGAAATTGGAAAATGATGAAAATACAAATTCAAATGGTTGAAATAATTACTTTTCAAGATTTTGTTGATATTTCGTGAATATTAGATAGATTGATCAATGTGTGATGTCATCGATATTTGATTTTGAGAAATTGATCGATGTGTGATGTCGTCATTATTTGATTTTGATCATTTTAGCAATAGGAATCTGTAAAATCCTTATGTCAGCCATTTTATCTCTAGCAATTATGGACCTTCATTTCATTTTTATTGAGGAGAAAGAAATTCAAGCTCAGGTAATTTTAAAAAGGTGGGTCCATCATCACTCATAAAAATAATAGGAAAACGTGGTCCGGTTAGGCAATAGCAGAGCTAGGAAATTTTCACCGTATGGGCTAGTTTAAAGATTTAATCTTTATAAACAAAGAAGCTTGATACTATATTTTTAGAGTATGCTCTAACTTAAGAAAATTTCACAAGGTGAGCCGAGAATTTTCGTTATTAAACAAATCCACGTTAAAATTCAAACAAATCCACATTTTTACATGTACAAGAAGCGATAAGAAAAAGAATGTAACAAAAAAAAATGATTTGTAAACTATATTATATAATTTTATATGGATTAAGATTAATTACTAAATATATAATGAGTTACATTCAAAAATTAATAAAAATTACATGTAAAATTTTAATTTTTTACGAAAAACTACCTGGGCTATAGCTCAAGGTAGCCCTTAACATGGCTACACCATTGCGGTTAGGAGCGGCAAGACGGCAAGAGTGTGATCCTATAGAAAGAAAGCTAAATAAAGAATTTGATGAGCAACTTGGTTGAGATTGGAGCCGCCACATTCATCCAATAGGAATTATGCTGTTGTCGCCATTCTCCTACAATAAAAGGGATTTGCAGACTTTGTATTGGATCATCATGATTTATTTTAGGTTATCAATGAAGATAGCATGCAATGCATGCATTACGTAGCGAAAAGATGGGGAGAATAAGAAGGAGAGTATAGGGTTAGAGAGTTTAATGTTAATAAGAACCTCTAACCTCTATCGATCGAGGTAAGTGGTTTATATAATGTGTTGTAAAATTTCTTATTTCTGATAAACGAAAACCACGAACTATCGTGGGGTTTCTCTATTTCAGATCTTTATCTATTTTCAAGTCAAGCATGTTAGATTTGTTGAAATGTTTTTAGAGTTATTATATATGGTGATATGTGGATTATTTGAAAATGTTCATGGAGCATGAGAACTTTAGTATTGCGTTATTCCGATTGATAAATGCAAACTGCACACAGGGATTAGGGTAGAAATGTCATTAGAGGTCACGTGGTGAGTTACATATTTGATGAAGGATATAATTAACACGTAAAATGATGATTTGATATAAGCACTCATTGGGCAACAGTGGTTGTTGCTCGCTCCTCACCTGATGAGTTGTTTGGCAAGACAAATGCTAGACGAGGAAATTAAGGGTTTTAAATTTTTATTTTTTTTATTTTTTACTTGGTAAACCCTGTAACGGGTTTTGGAGTTATTAATATAAGACAAGTTTTATTTTCGTTATTTTTTTTATTTGCGCACTGGGCACACGGTTACTTTTTTTACTGATCCTAGGTCTGGGGCGTGACATTATATACTCTCTAAACTCTATATAAATGTAACCCACAAACAAAAACAACATCAAACATCGACGTAGTCCAATTTCGAGCGAACAACAAAACATTTTGGGTTCTTGTGAGTTGATCCAAATGAACAAATGAATAAGAAGAGAGTTCTTACACCAAATAGAAATGCTAAACACATTTTCTTTTGCCTCGTTTTTTTATTTTTAGTAGAAGGATTGTAGATGTTGGCAAGCACGGCAGTGATGCCACCACTTTCATGACTTTTTATTTTCTTAAAAAAAATAAAAAATCACTTTGAACAAAGCCAACCTTTCTTTAATAAATGTAAAATACTCTTTTTTCAACAAATTATTATTTTTATTTTGGTTAAAAATCAAGGCAACTTTATTAATATTTTTACTTGCATTTCAAAATGTCATCT